ATCAAAGTCATTTACTTTCCCAGAAATTTACTTGCTTTCTTCTTTACTTTCCTGTCGAAACCTTTCATTTAAAGCCTTATTTATTTTACCAAAGTCCTTTCTTCATGCAATTTACTTAAAGCCCTTTTATTTTATTGTCATTTAACTAATATCCAATTTAATCAAACTTCAAAATCAACCTATGTCCTAGGATCAATCTGATCGATCCTGCGAGTAACCAAATAAGTAACCATTTGGAGGATCAGCGGTTGTTTACCAAATACCAAGGTAAACACTTAGGCATACAAGTCACTTCACTACATAATTCAAATAACGATAATAAAATAATGTAGAGTATACAATGTATCTTTAAAATATATATCCAAACGTTTATCAAGTGTTACATAATCAGATGATGACTCAACCCAAAATAAATACGGAAATAAAATAAAGATAGCTTCTTCAACTTCATTCTTGCCAAAGCAACTCTAAATATAAGTACCTGAGTGATGTCGTATAAAACATTATTCCAACAGAAGGGTCGGAATTCATATAATTATTGAAATTATATTATAATGTTTAATACATAACACTCATGTATAAAAATAACATTCTCACACTTCATATGTTTAAAAAACATAACATCCCCCAAATACTCATACTATTCACAAGTATTCATTTATCATTCACAATTTCTCAAAATACAACAATCCCACATAGTTCACTTAATTTCATATTGCAAACATACATACGATATGACTCAATGTAACTCAAATGAAATATTCATGCTTGTGGTACCCATCACTGTTATTTTTATTCGGTTTTTACTTTATACTGGGTTCATCCTCTAGACCAATAACACACAAAAAGCATGTCCTCTAAGCTTTCAAACTCCTATCTAGGTTTGGGACAAGTCACTAGCTCCCTCAGAACTAACAAGCATGCCTCTTGAAAACAAATGATACATGTGTGTTGTACCACAAAAGTTTTCCTCCCATTTCCAAGACAAATTAATTGAATACACTCCCTCAGGCTCATAGAAGTTTCAAATGCTCAAGACTTCTCAAGGATTGATAAGACAAGTCCTCCTTCTAAGAAATTCACATACAACTAGGGTTTTGTTTTTATTAAAGGAATTGAGCTTCTAATGCCTCTAGTGGGTTTCATAGTTCCTCATATGCTTCAAAGAATTCTCATGCTAGGTTTCAGGCCTTACTTCACAAGTTTGCTTAGTCAATTGCTCATACGAGTGAAAATCAGTTGTATTGGGTAAAAAGTCAACATTGATCAATCTACAGTTAAACTTAAAGATTTTTTGTCAACATAAATATTTTGAAGTTACATTCATCATTTGATCAAAGGGTTGATCATGATTCATCAAGAAAACTCGAGTTTCATCAAAAGTCAAAAGTTACTAAATCAGGTTTTTTAAGGAGAAGTCAACTGGACTTTTATCAAGCACAACTTTCACACACTTCATCATAAAATTCTCAACCAAACCCTATCTTGAAGGAAGTTTAATTCTCTACAACTTTGTCTCTCTAAGCTCAAAGCCAAAATGCTTCATTTGAGAGATATGAGCAAAAACTTTACAGGTCATTTTGAAAGTCAACAAAAAGAGACTTTTTGGGAAGGAAACTTACATCAAATTAAGTATTTAAAAGGAAAGAGTAATCAAAATGAACTTAGTAGGAGACATCTTGAGGTTTCCAAAAAGTCCTAGATCACCTTCATATGACAAAATTTGAGAAAGTTATGTGTTGTGCAAGTTGAGCAATTTTTGAGAAAGTGCATGAAGTTAAATTTGAGCAAACTTGAATTTTTGGACTAATGGATCTCTATTTTAAGGTCTAAGCATGTTCATGAAACCTTAGAGGGCCTTTAAGTCCATTCATGCATCATTTTGATTTTTATTTCATTTATATTTATTTTTATTCATTAAAATTTAAAATTAAATCAAATAAATGTTAAATAAATGTATAAGGCATAAAAGGCTTGTGATCTGAATCTTTTGGAGGCCCAAGGTCATGCTACAGACCGTGTAGACTTATTTGTAAATCAAATCTTTGTTGGTTTTTGAAGATCTCAACTTATTTTCAAACAAAATTAAAGATATGGTTTTATGAGGTATTCAAGCCCACCATTTGACCTAATCTTCTCTTCTATATATACTTATTACATTCAGTCCAAAAAGAGGACGGATAGCAGCTTGTAGAGCCAACCCTAATTCTTCAAATTTAAAAAGAAACTAGGGCACGAGTAAAATCTTTCTCCAGCAAGTTTCAATCAACTTTGATCATTCCACCAGCCTCCTGAGACCTCCAAGAGTCGTTCCCAATCACTATTGTAGCCTACAACATCTCAGAACTCTCCAACCAAACATCTCCAGTTTGGTCATGTTTTGCAATTTCAAACTACTTATTCATTCAATATAAATGAATTTTCTGCTTATATTCATGCTCATATTGATGATTGGAATTATTTTTGAACCATTATTTCTGAGTTTGAGTGCAGGTATCATAATTCACCATTGTTAGGGCTTGAAGCTCTCAAAGTTTCGAAACCCTAGCTACAAGCCGTCTCAGTTCAAACCAAAATCATAATATTTTAGAAATTCTAACCATCTCCTCTGTCTCATATTCAACTCTTTCTGATCAAATAGATATTCCAAACTCTTATGATCACTAAACACTTCAAATCTCGATCCGAACAAATAATTATGCCAAATATTTAATACAAACACAACAGTGGCCAACTGTAAGTCATGCGTCGGATAATTCTGCTCATGCACTTTAATTTGTCTTGAAGCATAAGCTAGAACTTCAAAAATAACAGAGTTGAAGAAATGTTGGGGAACCATTATCACATAATATTTTGTAATTGAAAAAAAGTCAATTATATTAATAAATCCAATTCCCTTCTGAACATTTATAATCATGATAGGATACTTACATGCACATTCTAAAAATTCTCTTTATAGACGATATTAGTTGTTGCTTGTTTCTCATCGGATTATTCCTCGTAAATAAGGATTTTCAATTTGTCTTTATTCTTAACCCTTGATACATCAACATATAATTATCCATGGCATAAGACAGAACGTGGTAAATAAAGATTGACAAAATCAAGTAAAGGGCCTTGTCATTTACATAACCGAGATTCTGCCTGGGCAAGCAAGCCCATAACCCAAGGCTTAAAAAAAAGAAGCGTAAAATTTTTTGATGGTAGACTTAGTAATATAATAAAATATTTTTATATATACTATTTGTTGAAAACAGAATCGAAGATATATAATATTTTTATAGTTAAACCAGCACTTTCCCTACAGCAACATTCCTCCATTTCATCTGTTTGAAGAGTTAATTGAGTAATTATTCACCATTCTAGCCACATCATGCTTTTCCATCCACTTTATAACAGCAATTCTCTCCTAATAATTTATAAAACAACCTCCCCATATTTTAAAATTAATTATTCTATCCCTAATAACCCTTTTAATTTTATTTTTTTAAACTTAAATTTTAGATATATTAATATTTTATAGTTTAATATTTAAATATTAATTATATGTTCATTTCTTTTATTATTAAATTGTTTTTGTGATAAAACATATCACATTCTTATAAGTAATTTGGTCTATTATTATTTTTATATAAAAAGATATATTGTTTAATTTTATTCTATTATAATATTAAAATTTTATTACAATTAATATTATTTTTAAAAATTTTTATAATTAAATGGATTATAAATTCAATTATTAAGTTTAAAATATTTTTAAATGATCATATTTGGGTTAGTCTAACTTAGTGTGATTTTTATAAAATTTTATAATTTGTATAATTAATTTGATTTTTTTCAAGATACTATATCAACTCTAGTAAAATATTGAAATTTTTGTCACAATGTCTCAAAATTATGAGACCCTCATAAATTTAAGAATATATTTAACATACAAATTTTTGAATGTTTATGTTTTTTATCATATGGTTATAATTGTTCTAGTGATTAATAACATGCGACAAAAAAATTTGTTGCAATGCGTTCTCATTGTTTAAAATTTTAATTTTTAGATGTATTTTAATTAAAACACTTCGACTTTAATATTGTAGTTAAAGAGTAAATATCTGCATCGTGGATTAGAAATTTGTTGTTTTGCCTACCTATTTGAACATTAAAATATTTATAGATCATTTATTTTTTCTTTTCTTTTTTTATAGTTTTTAATATTATTTACACTTCAAATAAAATATCTCTTTTCGAATTATTTCCATTCTGTTTATTAGGGATTTATTTTTAAAATTGAAACAGGATTTCCAAATTTTATGATATAGCCTTGTCTTTAGTGTAAAATTTAAATAATATTTTTTTTCATAATTAAATATTTAACAATTTTATATATGACCATAATTCAAAGTTAATTGTTCAACATTTTATTATGGGTTCATTTTTATTATTAGTCCCGAGCCTCTAAAAAGTCAGAACCGATCCTGATGATTTATTAATGGTTATTGCATAAGTAATATATAACCATGGAAAATTGTCTTAAACGATTAAACGACCAAAGTGATTGTGAAAGTGACATTGTCATATGTGAGATGTAAATAACATTGCCTTCATGTTTTCATTACAACAATCTTTGCTTCCAAAACATGATCAACAAATTTCGTAGTAACAATTAAACCGGCACAATTACAAATTTCTTGGGATTGGTCTAAATTTCTCATAAGTATGATAAGTATTTTTACTTTCATTTGATAATTTGTTTTGGTAGGCCTAATGTTCTAAGTGTATTAAGAAACTCTAGTGTTATGCATCATAAATATTTAAGTCATTAATATCAGACTTTTCATCTGAGTTCGAACTCATCTAAAATATTTTAGGAGAAATAAGTGTGTGAATACAAATTGGAAAAACTTATGAAATACTACAAAAATGAATTCAAGTAAATAGTATTTTATATTTTAGAACAATTACAACACCTTACATGAGGCATAATCAAATGATCATGATTCTCCTAATCATGGAAATGGAGTTTCTCCTGGAATGTTTCCAGCAGGATAATAATTGCAACTAATGAATGTCCCTCTATTATCACACTTCACTTTAGCACATCCAACACGTAGTGATCTTGACCAAACCACTTGGGTATAATGACTACATTCACCACCTTCACACTTGTTCTCATAGGAGTTATAGTGGGGATTTTCAGCCACCCACAAGTTCACTGCTTCCACGCCACTCATATTACCAGGGCTTACTGCAATATTCTCGCCGTAACGGCCACCACTGTCGGAAGGGGTCACTTTACAATCCTTGCGTTGATTAGCATAATTTTGAGCAAAAGCGGCAATTTTGTTATCCCAAACAAGATCTGTAATATTCCAAACTATTGCTTCTCTTGCTAAGTTGTGCGTGTTCACGAAATCTGTCGGCGAGTCTTGAGCATGTGCAATATGACTACTTCCCACAATGAGTATTAAGCCTAAGATACACCATAAAGAAAATGAACCATCTTAGTTTTCAAAATAGATTTCTAAATGTTTGGTGAAAATTGTTGGAACTCTAGTGATATTTTTATAGAGGAATTTTAACATAAATGTTTTTTAAAAAATAAAGAAAAATTAGGTAATAAATATTTTATTTTATTAAAAAAGTATATATAGTAATATGTATATTTTATACTATATGAAAAATATTTTATTTGTCGTTTTAATATTTTCCTATATTATTATATTATAATCAAATGTGTAATAAACTTGTGAAATCTATAGAGAATAAAACTAAAACAGACAGTAAAATATTCAAAATAATTTACTATAAGTTGTCTCTATATTTCTTTATAGATTAACTAATTAAATATCTTAGTTTTTAAATTCAAATTTTTAAAATAATGATTAAAAGGGATTGCATATCCAATATTCAATTATAGAAGATCTTTATTTTTGAGAAATTACAATGTTTAATGACGAACATGAATATTTAAACTAAAAGAGAAATATGCACAAATGTTGACGTTGAATCAATATAAATATATTCCACCAAACTAAATACCATAATTTGAATATTACTGCATATCTCTCTTTTAAAAAAAATACTAATTGAAATATTCATACATATCTCTATTTTAGTTGAATTAATTTAGATGATTAGATTAAATATAAATATTGATAATGCAGCAAACGTACGACAGTTTCGAAGTATTAAATTGGTTCAATTTGTTTAAGAGAAAAATTGGAAATTACAATTTTCTTAATAATTAAAAGTAATGGTCTAAGACTTTGATTCCATCTCCAAACATCGCTTATACAAGTTTCATGCCGATTGTTAATAAGAACTTTAATTTTGTAGGAAACGCTAAAACTAGTGGCAATGCCCACTTTCATTGGTGCACTGCCAGATTCTAAATCCATGATATACTTCCTTTATGTAATACCCTCTAAAACTCTGCAGAATATTACGTTATAAATCAGAGTAAATATCACATGCATTTCAAAAGCAAGGGTGTCACACTTACTTCATACATAACAACTTCTGTCATGTTCAATAACACTAAATTAAATTCATGATTTTCATATCACTTTCATTAAAATAAATATAATATCTAGGTTTCCAAAATAAAATTTATTTATTTAATCAACTTAGGCATACAAGTCACTTCACTACATAATTCAAATTACGATAATAAAATAATGTAGAGTATACAATGTATCTTTAAAATATATATCCAAACGTTTATCAAGTGTTACATAATCAGATGATGACTCAACCCAAAATAAATACGGAAATAAAATAAAGATAGCTTCTTCAACTTCATTCTTGCCAAAGCAACTCTAAATATAAGTACCTGAGCGATGTCGTATAAAACATTATTCCAACAGAAGAGTCAGAATTCATATAATTATTGAAATCATATAATAATATATAATACATAACACTCATGTATAAAAATAACATTCTCACACTTCATATGTTTAAAAAACATAACATCCCCCAAATACTCATACTATTCACAAGTATTCATTTATCATTCACAATTTCTCAAAATACAACAATCCCACATAGTTCACATAATTTCATATTGCAAACATACATACGATATGACTAAATGTAACTCAAATGAAATATTCATGCTTGTGGTACCCATCACTGTTATTTTTATTCGGTTTTTACTTTATACTGGGTTCATCCTCTAGACCAATAACACACAAAAAGCATATCCTCTAAGCTTTCAAACTCCTATCTAGGTTTGGGACAAGTCACTAGCTCCCTCAGAACTAACAAGCATGCCTCTTGAAAACAAATGATACATGTGTGTTGTACCACAAAAGTTTCCCTCCCATTTCCAAGACAAATTAATTGAATACACTCCCTCAGGCTCATAGAAGTTTCAAATGCTCAAGACTTCTCAAGGATTGATAAGACAAGTCCTCCTTCTAAGAAATTCACATACAACTAGGGTTTTGTTTTTCTTAAAGGAATTGAGCTTCTAATGCCTCTAGTGGGTTTCATAGTTCCTCATATGCTTCAAAGAATTCTCATGCTAGGTTTCAGGCCTTACTTCACAAGTTTGCTTAGTCAATTGCTCATACGAGTGAAAATCAGTTGTATTGGATAAAAAGTCAACATTGATCAATCTATAGTCAAACTTCAAGATTTTTTGTCAACATAAATATTTTGAAGTTACATTCATCATTTGATCAAAGGGTTGATCATGATTCATCAAGAAAACTCGAGTTTCATCAAAAGTCAAAAGTTACTAAATCAGGTTTTTTTAAGGAGAAGTCAACTGGACTTTTACCAAGCACAAATTTCACACACTTCATCATAAAATTCTCAATCAAAACCCTATCTTGAAGGAAATTGAATTCTCTACAACTTTGTCTCTCTAAGCTCAAAGCCAAAATGCCTCATTTGAGAGATATGAGCAAAAACTTTACAGGTCATTTTGAAAGTCAACAAAAAGAGACTTTTTGGGAAGGAAACTTACATCAAATTAAGTATTTAAAATGAAAGAGTAATCAAAATGAAATTAGTAGGAGACATCTTGAGGTTTCCAAAAAGTCCTAGATCACCTTCATATGACAAAATTTGAGAAAGTTATGTGTTGTGCAAGTTGAGCAATTTTTGAGAAAGTGCATGAAGTTCAATTTGAGCAAACTTGAATTTTTGGACTAATGGATCTCTATTTTAAGGTCTAAGCATGTTCATGAAACCTTAGAGGGCCTTTAAGTCCATTCATGCATCATTTTGATTTTTATTTCATTTATATTTATTTTTATTCATTAAAATTTAAAATTAAATCAAATAAATGTTAAATAAATGTATAAGGCATAAAAGCCTTGTGATCTGAATCTTTTGGAGGCCCAAGGTCATGCTACAGACCGTGTAGACTTATTTTCAAATCAAATCTTTGTTGGTTTTGGAAGATCTCAACTTATTTTCAAACAAAATTAAAGATATGGTTTTATGAGGTATTCAAGCCCACCATTTGACCTAATCTTCTCTTCTATATATACTCATTACATTCAGTCCAAAAAGAGGACGGATAGCAGCTTGTAGAGCCAACCCTAATTCTTCAAATTTAAAAAGAAACTAGGGCACGAGTAAAATATTTCTCCAGCAAGTTTCAATCAACTTTGATCATTCCACCAGCCTCCTGAGACCTCCAAGAGTCGTTCACAATCACTACTGAAGCCTACAACATCTCAGAACTCTCCAACCAAACATCTCTAGTTTGGTCATGTTTTGCAATTTCAAACTACTTATTCATGCAATATAAATGAATTTTATGCTTATATTCATGCTCATATTGATGATTAGAATTATTTTTGAACCATTATTTCCGAGTTTGAGTGCAGGTATCATAATTCACCATTGTTAGGGCTTGAAGCTCATAAAGTTTCGAAACCATAGCTACAAGCCGTCTCAGTTCAAACCAAAATCATAATATTTTAGAAATTCTAACCATCTCCTCTGTCTCATATTCAACTCTTTCTGATCAAATAGATATTCCAAACTCTTATGATCACTAAACACTTCAAATCTCGATCCGAACAAATAATTATGCCAAATATTTAATACAAACACAACAGTGGCCAACTGTAAGTCATGCGTCGGATAATTCTGCTCATGCACTTTAATTTGTCTTGAAGCATAAGCTAGAACTTCAAAAATAACAGAGTTGAAGAAATGTTGGGGAACCATTATCACATAATATTTTGTAATTGAAAAAAAATCAATTATATTAATAAATCCAATTCCCTTCTGAACATTTATAATCATGATAGGATACTTACATGCACATTCTAAAAATTCTCTTTATAGACGATATTAGTTGTTGCTTGTTTCTCATCGGATTATTCCTCGTAAATAAGGATTTTCAATTTGTCTTTATTCTTAACCCTTGATACATCAACATATAATTATCCATGACATAAGACAGAACGTGGTAAATAAAGATTGACAAAATCAAGTAAATGGCCTTGTCATTTACATAACCGAGATTCTGCCAGGGCAAGCAAGCCCATAACCCAAGGCTTAAAAAAAAGAAGCGTAAAATTTTTGGATGGTAGACTTAGTAATATAATAAAATATTTTTATATATACTATTTGTTGAAAACAGAATCGAAGATATATAATATTTTTATAGTTAAACCAGCACTTTCCCTACAGCAACATTCCTCCATTTCATCTGTTTGAAGAGTTAATTGAGTAATTATTCACCATTCTAGCCACATCATGCTTTTCCATCCACTTTATAACAGCAATTCTCTCCTAATAATTTATAAAACAACCTCCCCATATTTTAAAATTAATTATTCTATCCCTAATAACCCTTTTAATTTTATTTTTTTAAACTTAAATTTTAGATATATTAATATTTTATAGTTTAATATTTAAATATTTATTATATGTTCATTTCTTTTATTATTAAATTGTTTTTGTGATAAAACATATCACATTCTTATAAGTAATTTGGTCTATTATTATTTTTATATAAAAAGATATATTGTTTAATTTTATTCTATTATAATATTAAAATTTTATTACAATTAATATTATTTTTAATAATTTTTATAATTAAATGGATTATAAATTCAATTATTAAGTTTAAAATATTGTTAAATGATCATATTTGGGTTAGTCTAACTTAGTGTGATTTTTATAAAATTTTATAATTTGTATAATTAATTTGATTTTTTTCAAGATACTATATCAACTCTAGTAAAATATTGAAATTTTTGTCACAATGTCTCAAAATTATGAGACCCTCATAAATTTAAGAATATATTTAACATACAAATTTTTGAATGTTTATGTTTTTTATCATATGGTTATAATTGTTCTAGTGATTAATAACACGCGACAAAAAAATTTGTTGCAATGCGTTCTCATTGTTTAAAATTTTAATTTTTAGATGTTTTTTAATTAAAACACTTCGACTTTAATATTGTAGTTAAAGAGTAAATATCTGCATCGTGGATTAGAAATTTGTTGTTTTGCCTACCTATTTGAACATTAAAATATTTATAGATCATTTATTTTTTCTTTTCTTTTTTTATAGTTTTTAATATTATTTACACTTCAAATAAAATATCTCTTTTCGAATTATTTCCATTCTGTTTATTAGGGATTTATTTTTAAAATTGAAACAGGATTTCCAAATTTTATGATATAGCCTTGTCTTTAGTGTAAAATTTAAATAATATTTTTTTTCATAATTAAATATTTAAAAATTTTATATATGACCATAATTCAAAGTTAATTGTTCAATATTTTATTATGGGTTCATTTTTATTATTAGTCCCGAGCCTCTAAAAAGTCAGAACCGATCCTGATGATTTATTAATGGTTATTGCATAAGTAATATATAACCATGGAAAATTGTCTTAAACGATTAAACGACCAAAGTGATTGTGAAAGTGACATTGTCATATGTGAGATGTAAATAACATTGCCTTCATGTTTTCATTACAACAATCTTTGCTTCCAAAACATGATCAACAAATTTCGTAGTAACAATTAAACTGGTACAATTACAAATTTCTTGGGATTGGTCTAAATTTCTCATAAGTATGATAACTATTTTTACTTTCATTTGATAATTTGTTTTGGTAGGCCTAATGTTCTAAGTGTATTAAGAAACTCTAGTGTTATGCATCATAAATATTAAAGTCATTAACATCAGACTTTTCATCTGAGTTCGAACTCATCTAAAATATTTTAGGAGAAATAAGTGTGTGAATACAAATTGGAAAAACTTATGAAATACTACAAAAACGAATTCAAGTAAATATTATTTTATATTTTAGAACAATTACAACACCTTACATGAGGCATAATCAAATGATCATGATTCTCCTAATCATGGAAATGGAGTTTCTCCTGGAATGTTGCCAGCAGGATAATAATTGCAACTAATGAATGTCCCTCCATTATCACACTTCACTTTAGCACATCCAACACGTAGTGATCTTGACCAAACCACTTGGGTATAATGACTACATTCACCACCTTCACACTTGTTCTCATAGGAGTTATAGTGGGGATTTTCAGCCACCCACAAGTTCACTGCTTCCACGCCACTCATATTACCAGGGCTTACTGCAATATTCTCGCCGTAACGGCCACCACTGTCGGAAGGGGTCACTTTACAATCCTTGCGTTGATTAGCATAATTTTGAGCAAAAACGGCAATTTTGTCATCCCAAACAAGATCTGTAAGATTCCAAACTATTGCTTCTCTTGCTAAGTTGTGCGTGTTCACGAAATCTGCCGGCGAGTCTTGAGCATGTGCAATATGACTACTTCCCACAATGAGTATTAAGCCTAAGATACACCATAAAGAAAATGAACCCATCTTAATTTTCAAAATAGATTTCTAAATGTTTGGTGAAAATTGTTGGAACTCTAGTGATGTTTTTATAGAGGAATTTTGACATAAATGTTTTTTAAAAAATAAAGAAAAATTAGGTAATAAATATTTTATTTTATTAAAAAAGTATATATAGTAATATGTATATTTTATACTATATGAAAAATATTTTATTTGTCGTTTTAATATTTTCCTATATTATTATATTATAATCAAATGTGTAATAAACTTATGAAATCTATAGAGATTAAAACTAAAACAGACAGTAAAATATTCAAAATAATTTACTATAAGTTGTCTCTATATTTCTTTATAGATTAACTAATTAAATATCTTAGTTTTTAAATTCAAATTTTTAAAATAATGATTAAAAGGGATTGCATATCCAATATTCAATTATAGAAGATCTTTATTTTTGAGAAAGTACAATGTTTAATGACGAACATGAATATTTAAACTAAAAGAGAAATATGCACAAATGTTGACGTTGAATCAATATAAATATATTCCACCAAACTAAATACCATAATTTGAATATTACTGCATATCTCTCTTTTAAAAAAAATACTAATTGAAATATTCATACATATCTCTATTTTAGTTGAATTAATTTAGATGATTAGATTAAATATAAATATTGATAATGCAGCAAACGTACGACAGTTTCGAAGTATTAAATTGGTTCAATTTGTTTAAGAGAAAAATTGGAAATTACAATTTTCTTAATAATTAAAAGTAATGGTCTAAGACTTTGATTCCATCTCCAAACATCGCTTATACAAGTTTCATGCCGATTGTTAATAAGAACTTTAATTTTGTAGGAAACGCTAAAACTAGTGGCAATGCCCACTTTCATTGGTGCACTTCTAGATTCTAAATCTATGATATACTTCCTTTATGTAATACTCTCTAAAACTCTGCAGAATATTACGTTATAAATCAGAGTAAATATCACATGCATTTCAAAAGCAAGGGTGTCACACTTACTTCATACATAACAACTTCTGTCATGCTCAATAACACTAAATTAAATTCATGATTTTCATATCACTTTCATTAAAATAAATATAATATCTAGGTTTCCAAAATAAAATTTATTTATTTAATCAACTTAGGCATACAAGTCACTTCACTACATAATTCAAATTACGATAATAAAATAATGTAGAGTATACAATGTATCTTTAAAATATATATCCAAATGTTTATCAAGTGTTACATAATCAGATGATGACTCAACCCAAAATAAATACGGAAATAAAATAAAGATAGCTTCTTCAACTTCATTCTTGCCAAAGCAACTCTAAATATAAGTACCTGAGCGATGTCGTATAAAACATTATTCCAACAGAAGAGTCAGAATTCATATAATTATTGAAATCATATAATAATAAATAATACATAACACTCATGTATAAAAATAACATTCTCACACTTCATATGTTTAAAAAACATAACATCCCCCAAATACTCATACTATTCACAAGTATTCATTTATCATTCACAATTTCTCAAAATACAACAATCCCACATAGTTCACATAATTTTATATTGCAAACATACATACGATATGACTCAATGTAACTCAAATGAAATATTCATGCTTGTGGTACCCATCACTGTTATTTTTATTCGGTTTTTACTTTATACTGGGTTCATCCTCTAGACCAATAACACACAAAAAGCATGTCCTCTAAGCTTTCAAACTCCTATCTAGGTTTGGGACAAGTCACTAGCTCCCTCAGAACTAACAAGCATGCTTCTTGAAAACAAATGATACATGTGTGTTGTACCACAAAAGTTTCCCTCCCATTTCCAAGACAAATTAATTGAATACACTCCCTCAGGCTCATAGAAGTTTCAAATGCTCAAGACTTCTCAAGGATTGATAAGACAAGTCCTCCTTCTAAGAAATTCACATACAACTAGGGTTTTGTTTTTCTTAAAGGAATTGAGCTTCTAATGCCTCTAGTGGGTTTCATAGTTCCTCATATGCTTCAAATAATTCTCATGCTAGGTTTTAGGCCTTACTTCACAAGTTTGCTTAGTCAATTGCTCATACGAGTGAAAATCAGTTGTATTGGATAAAAAGTCAACATTGATCAATCTACAGTCAAACTTCAAGATTTTTTGTCAACATAAATATTTTGAAGTTACATTCATCATTTGATCAAAGGGTTGATCATGATTCATTAAGAAAACTCGAGTTTCATCAAAAGTCAAAAGTTACTAAATCAGGTTTTTTTAAGGAGAAGTCAACTGGACTTTTACCAAGCACAAATTTCACACACTTCATCATAAAATTATCAACCAAACCCTATCTTGAAGGAAATTGAATTCTCTACAACTTTGTCTCTCTAAGCTCAAAGCCAAAATGCCTCATTTGAGAGATATGAGCAAAAACTTTACAGGTCATTTTGAAAGTCAACAAAAAGAGACTTTTTGGGAAGGAAACTTACATCAAATTAAGTATTTAAAAGGAAAGAGTAATCAAAATGAAATTAGTAGGAGACATCTTGAGGTTTCCAAAAAGTCCTAGATCACCTTCATATGACAAAATTTGAGAAAGTTATGTGTTGTGCAAGTTGAGCAATTTTTGAGAAAGTGCATGAAGTTCAATTTGAGCAAACTTGAATTTTTGGACTAATAGATCTCTATTTTAAGGTCTAAGCATGTTCATGAAACCTTAGAGGGCCTTTAATTCCATTCATGCATCATTTTGATTTTTATTTCATTTATATTTATTTTTATTCATTAAAATTTAAAATTAAATCAAATAAATGTTAAATAAATGTATAAGGCATAAAAGGC